AGAAAAATGTGTGAACTTCTAACTTTGCTCAGAATAAAAATAATAAGGTACAGCCTCGCCTTTTTCATATTTAATATATTAGCCATTTCTATAACAAAAGATGTGTCTAATCAGCAAATCCTAAAGTCAAAATTTCATTTTTTTTCCTGTCTTCAGTCTAGAAGCAATTTCCAAGTAGAAACAAAACTGGATGTATTTTTCAATTAAAGCATTTGATTCAGTGATCTCTGTTAGCTCCATCAGTTTCTCCTTCCATTCTTTCATTGTGGATATTAATGCATCTTTCCATTTTTATGCATAAAGAATTCTTGCTGCAGTCAGATTTTTTTTTTTTTTAGTTCCTTGTCCGGTTACTATGGCCTGATATCTTGATGGAAACCTTAATCTTGTTTTATCCAGGACAAGAAAAGGCTGTTCTTAAAACCTATTTTGCTCTTGAAAGACAGCCTTGTCATGACAATTCTTGATATTATGGTTGTCAAAAAGACCGTTCAGTATTTTTTTTCCAGACTCTTATTTCTCTTCAAATGAATGGTGAAGATTTATTTCTCATTTTCCTCCTATATTCTTTTTCTCCCTTTAAGACAGACTACTGGGAACCTAGCCAGAGTTTACTACAAAACCCAACATACTAACAGAGCGTTTGGGCCCTCTTTTTTTCCTTCTGGGAAGAATAGCTTGGCTTCTTTCTCAGAAAGGCCTAGCAACAGTAGAACACTTCTAGCTGGAGCTGCAGGAGAGACGGGGTTGGCATTTCTTGGACTTTCTTACCATCTCAGTCCTATTAGAAGCTACTGGATGAATCAAACACCATTGTGTAAATAGTAAGATAAGTTATGATAGAGAATTTGAGCTAGGGGGAAATACCAGTAAGTAGTATATAGATTATTTCTGTCCCAGATCTTTAAAATCTACAGATATTAAATTCACTGCCTGGCTCAAGCTAATTATTCACTTGTGTGGTCAGTACTTGCACTGGCTCAAATCAATTCAGTGTTTCATTAGTCAACTGACTGTATAAACTAGCTAGAAATCATGGCACTTCTAATCCATCACACTGGTTATTGTACTAGGTTGGCAAAGACTGCTGTAAATTGAATAATGATATGTTAAGTCTTTTGAGTTATGTAGAGTAACTGCTTTTTTCTTTCCAACAGAATGATTGTGCCTTGGCGTGTCGTTTGTGAGATTTGGGCATTTAAAAGGAGTGCCATAACACTACGGTCATAGGTACACCATCATTAGGGCTGAGAAGCATCCCCTGGCCAGGGCTTCGGATAAAATTGAAGGGCTGCATCCTTTTCCTCATTGTGCCTCACCTGAAGCTTGTACCTACCTTGAGTTATCCACCTTGTGAAGAGGCTGGAACCACTCTAGTCTCTTCCTTTTTATGCCTCTGGATCTGTGTTTTGCAATTTTTCAAGTGTTTGCACAATTTATTTCCTTTTTAAATATACATATATATATATATATATTTGTACTGGGATGGGTTTTAAATTATAAAAATTACTGTTTTGGAAGCAGACTTTAAGAATAAGTACTGTTTCCATTAAGATTATTATTTTTTGTACATTTTTAAAATAATAATGGGTGTTTAATAGAGGCATATTTTAGAAGTGTGCTTTTTTAAAAAAATGATTGAAATAATATATGTCACTTTAAATCCCTGTGGCTGCTCCAATGAAGTTTTTGTCGTATTACAGTACTGTTAAATGGTTTGGCAGACTGGGTAGATTATTTTTGTAGCTGTTCAGATGTGAGCAAACTAATCAAATCTAACTTGATTTGTATGGGAACACTACATTAATTTTTCTTGAAATAAAAAAAAGTACCTTTATTTTTTTCTTGTGGTCAAGACGTTTTGTGATACTATCTTTATTTTACAGTCTCTGAAATGTTTAGAATATCTATAAATTCTAAATGCTTGGTTCCCCCCCCCATGTTTTGCTATCCTTTTAACTTTACACTTAAAATCATCAAAATCATTCCTTCACAAGCAGTTTTGCAAAATCCTTTTTATATAGGCAATTTCTCCACACACTGTATATTTTAAAGTACATCCTTCTCACTTTGAAGAGATGCTATAGACCAAATATAGCCCCTAAACAAGTTTTCATTACAATCATTAATGCATTTTTTTCTATGTAAGTATGAGTCCTATTACAATCCATTGAAAGTAAATCTAATCCAGTAAATTCCACATAGCTATCCTGACTGAATCTTTGTCAGTTAACTTTACTTCCAAGTTCTGTGCAAAGGATTATATAATATAGTGCTTCTCTAGGACAGTGATGGTGATCTAGGACCATGGTGGCGAACCTATGGCCTGCGTGCTGTCACCCCAGTCCTAGGCTTTAAGCTGGGTTTTATAAAACCTTTTCATTTTAGGCCTCCGCCGCTGTGTGCCAAAAAAAAAAAAAAAGATCCAATCAATTTCCATTTCCTGCGGGGGGAAAAAAATCTTGCAAAGTTGGAATTGATTAATTGAACTTTTTAGTCTCACCCAGTCTGCCGTTACCACTGCAGCCATGCCCACCCAATTGGCCATGGCCACCTACTGGGCATTTTGGGCACTCGGTCTCTAAAAAGTTCGCCATCACTGTCCTAAGACAAGTCTGTCAAAGGTAACATGCCACGATACTTTGGGGACATGCTAGTGTTTACCAACACCCAACAACTATTCTTGTATGCCTACCCCATTCTCATGTGATATTTGGAGGTTGCAGAGGTCGCCTGAGAAGGCCATGCTCTTATGCAGCCTCGGCCCTCTAAAAGTTGTTTAGGAATGGGCTTTGCTTTTGTGTAGTTTTCCGAGGCTGCAGAGGCCAAGAAAGATCATTCTCTGAAGCCACCTCAAGAAATGAAAGCCTTATGTGAGCAGCCTCAGGTAGGCCACAGGGACTTGTGAACAAAGAGAACGTTGTCTGGAAGTAAGCTGCACACGGCAGATCCTGGAGATCATGCACAGTTGGACTGTATTTTTTAAAATAAATGAACACGTAAAGAATTGTTTCTCTTTAGTTTCAGGACAGCGTGTGACATGCCAACAGAGTCAAATTAGGCCAGTGATGGCAAACCTTTTAGAGACCGAGTGCCCAAACTGCAACCCAAAACCCACTTATTTATCGCCGGGTGCCAGGTGGGCATGGGCCATTGGGTGGGCGTGGCCGTGGTAGTCATGGCAGATTGGATGGGTGTGGCCAAGGTGGGCGTGATTACCTCGATGTTGCTCATGGGGAGGGATACCTGTGGGGGCAGGGTTGGGGGAGATACAGGGGGTCTCTGGCAGGTGGGGTGGTGGGCAGGAGGCTCATCCTGCAAGGTAAGGTGAGGCAAGGCGAGGCAGGGCAAGGTGAGGCAGGTGCCGGGGCGGCTGCTGCCTGACACCATCAGCCCCCGCACACAGAGGCCAGCAAGCACATGGGTGCTGGGATACATCCAGCCATGTGGGACCTCGGTGAGTTAGCGGGCAGCTGGTTGAAGAGGGATGGTTGCCATCTCCGGGGCATGGCGTGTGCCCCCACAGAGAGGGCTCTGAGTGCTACCTCTGGCACGCGTGCCATAGGTTCGCCACCACTGAGTTAGGCATTTCTGAAATGTTGACATGTCAAGCCAAAAACATTTGCCATCACTGCTCTAGAGAAAATAGTATTGGTATATTGAACAATGACCCAAATTATTCTTGCAAGACTGAGAGACATAAATTACGATCTGAGGTACAAGACAAGGTGATTCCCATTTCCTGTGGTCCAATGAACTTTAATAAATACCTCATCAAATGACTAACAACTAGTCTTGCTCAAGACTTTGTTATAACCTATTTCAGTGAAATATGGGCTGCTGTCAGTCTTGCAAGTCTAATTGTGCTTTTCCTCCCCTCTTGTTGTATCCTGGTGAATCGGAATGGAGTTTGCCTCTTTCCAATACTACCTTGTTTCCCAGAATTCCTTGGGACTATTTCAGCCCTCTTTATATGGTGGTTCCTGCATAGGGAGTAGGGACTGGAACTATTAAAATAAGACAAATAACATTCAAGTAATACCAAAGCTGAATATGTTAGCTGATGAAAAGCAATTTAAAAGGGGAATTTAAAATCAAAGGCAAATATATTCATTTTTTCTTATATCCATTGTGAAAAATATGTGCCACTGCTCCTCTCTCTAGAAAACAATTATTTCTCAGATGAAACAAAGTGAAAGGTTGAAAATCTCAAAGGTACAGCTTCTGATTTGTACTCAATCTCCTAGAATTGTTGGGCTTCAGACTACAGTCTGAAAACATGAGCTACTATAGAATTAAGCAGGTATATGGGACATTTTACATGTTCTTATTTTAGAATACAAGATCCTTTTCCTGGCCAAACTTGGAAAAAAGTATTGCTAAAGAAAGTAAATTGCACACATACAATGGACAAGTGTATGGTTGTGTCACATGCTATATACCAGTGATGGCGAATCTTTTAGAGACCCAGTACCCAAACTGCAACCCAAAACCCACTTATTTATCAACAGGTGCCGGGTGGGCGTGGCCCCAGTGGTCATGGCAGACAGGGTGGCGGGGGCCAGTCCCTCGCCATCTCTGGGGGCATGGCACACGTGCCCACAGAGAGGGCTCTGAGTGCCGCCTCTGGCACGCGTGCCATAGGTTCGCCACCACTGCTATATACACAAAGTAGTGACATCCTACATTTCTACAATATCCCTCATACTCTGAAATAATCCTTGTGGGTGTGCATGTAAAAATGGACTATCCAACTTCACTGTTGATGGAACCACACTGGATAGAAGTGTTTTTCAAAATATCTGTTTTGGCAGGTGGAAAGGGGAGAAAATAAATAATATCCTATTTCTAAAGCTACTAAGAATTACTGAAAGACAATTACATACTTTAAAAAATTTATTTCAAAAATACAAAAGTAACGTCTTACATTAACCACTGTAAAATAATATATACATTTTATTTATCATTTGGAAGATTTGTTAAAAAGCTTTGGTCTTAGGCACATCTAGTATAGCATGCAGCCAACTTAATGGCAAATCTTTTAGAGGCAGCCATGACAGTATCGTTTCTTTGGTGGCAGATGGATATTTTGAGAGAAATTCATAGATTCTATGTTTGCCACCATAAGATTAGGTAAGGGAGAACTTCTGTTCAAGCTCAGTTGCTGATGTTGCTTGGCAGTTTTTCCACCAGCCTCTTGGGAGGTAGAAACATCTGTGTTCCTGGCAAGAAAAAAGCCCTCAGCACCTGACTGGATTGGACTGTTCTTCCTATCACAACTTTGTTTTAATTTAGGATTAAATCTGCGATAAAAAGATTCCACTTCAGGGAGGTCAGCAAGATTGGTCATTGACATGGTATCTACCAGGTGATTGTATGCCAGTGGGACTGGATTTCTTGCATGTTTCTGCAATGGCGGTGATGCCTCTTTCTTCCACACCTCCACATGCATCTTTCGGTGAGGTGGCAGCAATCTAGGCCTCTTCCGTGCTGGAGACTCCATCAGTAAATCAGAAACACAAAACTGTAGGAGTTCCTCTTCAACACTTGTCATGGATCCACTTGGCACATTCTTGTCTGTAACATCACAGTTGCTATGCTGAGATGCCACAGCATCTTGCGGTGACCAGTGTTCACCTACACATACAGCCCCAGTTGGATGCATTTGCTCTGGAGGAAGAGACATTACTTTCACAAAGTAAACGGCGTTTTCATTGTGGTGCAATGAGGCCCTTGTTTGTAAATCTGACAGGGCCTTGTTGTTCCTTGTCTGCTTTTCCTGGACAGAAATATCAACTGCCGACTGAGATGCTACTGTTTGAGAATACAATATGGGACATGGCTGGAGTTTCAGCTTTTCATTCCATGCTTGAAGAAACTTCTCCCTGCAAGATTTTGGCTTTTCTGTGTCATTGGGATGCACAGCCATCTTATCTTTTGTGGCTGCTGAATCCGTAAGAATTTCTGAAATTTAAAGATTGAGATAGAAGAGAAAGTCAATGAAAGAGCTTTCTAATATGTAATTTGCTAAAGGGTAGTACTTCTAGTATTTTCCCTCACCTCCAGGTCTCTAATTGATGTAGGAATAGCTGTAGTGTTGCCTGGCAACACACATTCTAGATCTCACAGGCCTGCAGTAAGCTTCGTGGCCTAAGCCATGGAAGCTGTAGCAGTTGGGACAAAGATCCAAACTTTCCAGGGTCACAAGCATTCTGACGTCAATAATTTGGAACAAATGATCAGTTAATTTGAGCCAGGATGCACTTTTTACATGGAATCTATCTCTAACCAAAGCTGCAGCTGGGAAACCTTGAATATCTTGTATGTGTTTACAAGCAGTGTTTTTCAACCTTGGCTGCTTAAAGATGTGTGGGCTTTAATTCCTAGAATTCCCCAGCCAGCATGCTGGCTGGGGAATTCTTGAAATTGAAGTCCACAACATCTTCAAGCTGCCAAGGTTGAGAAACACTGATTTACAGTGCAGCAATGCACCCAAGAAATCAAAATTGTTTTTCTTTCCAATTATATGCTGTCATAGTCCACCTGTGGCTGCTCTCACAGAGAAGATAGCCCTGAATCTTGCAGAAGCCACTCCCAATCTGCTGCTCTCTTGACATACTGGATTTCTATCAAATGCCGTGCTGGCAGGGAACTGTGGGAAATCCAAAGCAGGTTACCAGATTGAGAAAAATGGCATATCACTTGCCTGATTCCACTGCATCAAACAGAATGGGAGGTCATAATCTCATCCTCAGATTCTACTGACTTTTGGATTTGATATAAAGGAGCAAGGACGCAATGTCTAGATCTTTTGGAGAGACCCTGCTTACCAAGCCTTTTCAAATATAAGATCCTTCTAATATCACAGGCAGTTGCAATGTTAAATTGCATTCATATGCTGGTCTTGATTAGGCAACCAGATCTGCCCTGCAAAATTCTGGGTGACCATTAGATGGCAGCAAAGCCCTTTCAAATTTTTTGCTTTCCTTCTACAGCAGAGGTTCTCAACCTGTGGGTCGGGATCCCTTTTGGGGTCGAACGACCATTTCACGGGGGACGCCAAACAACGCAGTCCGCCATTTTTTCCCCCTTTTCCTTAGCTGTGCTACTCCCTTTTATTCTATTGGCTTTTGAAAGCCAATAGAATAGACTCTCTTGAATAGAGTCTAATTCTATTGGCTTTCAAAACCCAATAGGAATTGTCCAGGCTGTCTCTGCCCTGCTGAGCCCGCCAAAAGTCCCATTCTGCAAACGGTGCTGCACCAGTTGAGTAGTCCTCGACTTACGACCGGTTGGGGGTCACGGCATTAAAAAGGTTGAGAACCACTGTTCTACAGTAATGTGCCTGTTCTACATCTAGACATTTTTTTTTGCTTTGATCTTTGTGACCCTTTTCATGATTTTAGACAGTTTGATATTTTTATTATCAGATGGGCTATTTCATTCTTCCTCTTCATAGAAATCTAATAAATAAGAAGCCCTTTAAACAAATCCCACTAACAGCTCCATAAGTTTGGATCTTCCAAATTTGGTACAGGCTAGAAAACAGTGGACCATTAGTTCTAGTCCTGCCTTAGGCACAAAACCAGCTGGGTGACTTTGGACCAGTCATTCTCACCAGCCTTAAAGAGGAGACAAGGGCAAATCTTGCCAGAAAAACTGCAGGGATTAGCCTAGGCTGTTGCCAGGAATTAATACTGACTTAAAGACACAGAACAAACAAACAGGCAACTGAATCAACAAATAACGTACTATTCACCTGCAATATAAATATTTTGCTTGCACCTTTCTGTCCAAATAATTTGGTGTAGTGGTTAAGAAGAGCCAGTTTGGTATAGTGGTTAAGGCATCAGCAACTGGGAGTTCTAGCCCTGCCCTACACACAAAGCCAACTGGGTAATATGAGCCAGTCACTTTCTCTTAGCCCTAGGAAAAAGGCAATGGCAAATCACTTCTCAAAAAACCTTGCCAAGAAAATTACAGGGACTTATCCAATCTGAGAATTGGACACAATTGAAGAGAGTTTTTTTTTTTTTTAAAGAGCAGCCTAATTCTCTGACCTATGACACTTCTGGGGATCCAGAAGGAGAGCCAGCACTTCCGTTACAACAGCATCTGTCCCCTGAGCCTGACTGAGTGACCAACTATTAGGCAACAAAGGATCTGTGAAATATAAGGGAACAGTTTTTCTAAATGTGTGCCATTTAATTGCTTTGGTTCTCTCTTCCTGGGCATGAATATTTTAGTAAATGTCTCCGGTTTCTTTTGAGGAAGAGACTGGATATGAATTTTCTTTCCTTTTCAAAGCAGTAACAATCTCCTGGAGCACAGAAGCAAATTGGGGAGATAATTCAAAAGCTGCTGGGTAACCAAAGTGGGGGCTCTGTGTGGGTGGAGACAGCACTGATTCACTTGCAACTGGGTTACAGAAACTATGGTTACTAAACAAAAGGGATATAATACCAAATGTCACACCCTGGTCAATAACCCATTTGGCTTCTAATTTATTAGCTGACTAAAATTAGCTATCTGATTGAAATTGTAAAACTATGAAACAGCATTTTTGTCAGAAAGGAAAGACCAAGTCTACATATGAAGAACCAATTAAATTAAGTTATTGCTAAAAAGCTTATACACAGGAATCTTCTCAACTAATGGTTAGCACCTGGAGTTAGATAACTATCAACTGATTTTAAGGAACTATCAACTTAGTTCGTGGCTATTTAGGGATTCTAAATAGGTTCTGCCACTCCATATACATTTTCCCGGCTAATTAATAACCATTTTTTCCATGAAAAATATAGAGAGACGTATCTCTTATTTAATCCAACGAGGATGCAAAATTAGAATAATAATGTTATATCAATTCAATAATATCTACTTTAATGTGTGTGTGTAAATTATCCAAGCCAGCTCAGTAATTAATTCATGCACATAATATCTTGAGCTGAGTAGCAACCCTGCTTTTCTTGAATCTATCCTTTTCATGCCTGTTCCCACAATTTTCTTTCAACTATTACTGAAATTCATATGCTGACCTCAACACTTTAATTAAAAGAAACCTGGCAGGATTTGACTTCCAGGGGAAAAATAGTGAAAATGGTAATGACCGTGACAGAATGAAGACCTGACAAATAGACCAGCTCTTCATAATTCCTCTCCCAATCAAGAGAGCTCATGAGAATGTCTACAACATGATAGGATGGGATTTTGAAGTTTGGACACTAGAGGGAACTAGAAGGAACTAAAGATTACAATTAAAAGAGAATAACACATATTAATGATAAGAATGGAGCAAACTATTTTAACATTGACATATTGAAGGATATTTTTGAACAATGGACCTAGAAGCTAATTTTAACTTTTGATTGTGTTTAATGGAAGAGAAGTCAATTTTATCAGACAAAACTGAGAATTATCGGAAAAATGGATTTAAAAATGACTGGCTAGAACAGGGGTGTCAAACTCAATTTCATTCAGGGCCGCATCAGCATTGCGGGGGAGGTGGGGCGGGGGTGTGTGGCCTACTGGGTAGGTGTGGATGGAGTGGGTGTGGCCTATTGGCTGGGCATGGCCAGCTCTATATTGTTTGCATCAAGGGTGTCTCTGGGGGCCTGGGCAGCAGTGGGATAGTTCTGAGGGTCTCTGGCAGAAGGGGGTGGGACCAGGGCAAGTGCCAAGGCATCGTCTACTGGAGGGGCCTCACTGCCTGCTGAAACCCCTCCCCTAGAGCCCATCAAGCCGGATATGTGAAGTAGGCAAGGGCCATTTGCTGGCCACTTCCAGGCGATAGCACATTTCTTCATTCCTCACAAAGGGTGACACCTCCCCAGCATACACCCAGGAGACGGGGCCAATGCGGCAGGGGCTGGTTCCTCGCTGTTTCCAGATGGCTTTGTGGAGCTAAGACTGAATGCATTTCAGCATAGAGGGCCACTACAAAATTGTACATTGGCTCCCGGCCAACCTTGGCCAGGGCCAAGGCAGTAGGGGCCATTCCCTCACTGTTTCCAGGATGGCTTCGCAGGCCACATGAAATCACTTCGCGGGCCTCGTCCGGCCCCCGGGCCTTGTGTTTGACATGTCTGGGCTAGAAGAATGATATGGAAAAAGATGCTACACTGGACATGTAAATGAAACCGTCTGATATGTTAATAATTTAAAGGGATATACAAATAACAAACCAAAAGAGTGACCTGGATAACTTTTTAATATTGAAATGGCAAAAGGGAATTGTTAAAGCTTTGAAGAATTTTGTGAGAAGGAACAATTATAAATGAAAAGAAATAAAATTCTTGGACATTATTTGAGGGGTCAGGATTCAAATCGTTGAAAGGAACAAATACAAATTTGGTTTATTTGTTCAAATAGATATGCTGTCATAACAATCTTTTGTTGACCAGGACTGAAATGATGAGGTTTTAAGGGTTTGTTTATAGACAAGAGATGAGATATGAAAAGAAATCATCTTTAAAAGAAGGTGAAAAGTTACTAAAATTGTTTATAGCTGCGATGAAGGACAAGTTATTCTTTTCTTTACTATATATTTTTATTTTATTTTCTAGTTTTCTTTCTATTTTTCCTATTCTGCATTTCTTTTTATTCTTTATAGTTATTTTTCATTGTAATTTTTAATAAAAGTATTAAAACAATCTGGCAGGATTTCAGTGGGATATGCAGATGTGCCCTTGGTCTTAAAATCCCAGGAATTCTACCACAGAAAGACAATGCCCACCCAGCTTTTATGATTCTCCAAACCACAAAAAAGTAATGCATCGTTATTAGCAATACACCCATATTTTACAGTGCACAGTGGTGTGAATACTTTCTGCTATTTCTGCATCAATGAATTTTTACAAAGCAAGGATGCTTTCCACTTTAAGAATGGAAAATTAGAATGTAAATTGAAACACTAAGGAAAAGAAGAAAGGAAAAGAGAGGAGGAGGAGAAAGAGAAGGAGAAGAAGGAGATGAAGAAGAAGAAGAAGAAATTGTCCTTGGAATGCTTGTAAAATTAATATTATTAAAATAATTAGGGGGAGAACCAATCATGTGTACTGCTTTGAACTGCTCAATGGCAAACCAAGATAGAAACAGAAGAATAATCCTCAATTTTTTATTCTGTTATAATTTTGAAGAGAAAAATGGAAGCACTAAAACCATATTAGTTTTAGTATTAAATTAGGATACCGAAATACCTTCCTGTGGCCTGGCACAGAAAAAGTTAATTCAGAGCTTACAACTTTCCAATTTGGCTAATGTGGGCTTTATTGAAATGTATTTTTAGAAATGGTCCTTTTTCTCCAAAAGAATGTAAAAGCATGCATCTGCTAAACAAAACCATTTCCTGTTGAAGAGTCAACATTTTATTTTGCCTCCTGCCAGAAGTGTGTATTTGTAGACTATCAATTTCATATTATTTTATTACCTTCCATTCTCCAAAAGTGTTTTCTTCTGAAATACTTGTATCTTTAATTACACAGCAGGCTGAAAACCATCACTGGAATCACTGCTTTCTATTGGCACAAAGAAACCAAATATTTAATGTATTTATTTGCTTATGAAATTTATAGGCCACCCAATTAGTTACAGCACCGGAAGACTTACAAAATAGAACAATAAAAGTGTGACAAAAAGACAAAAAAAAACATCAAAAAACTGGAAAAAGACAACAATTGTTTAAGAAAAAAAGTACCATCATCCAAGGGATTAATCTTCGACTGTAGCCAAAGTCCTGGGGATAGAGCCAGGTTTTAAAGATTTATTTAAATAAGGTCAGAGTAGGTGGGCTGTATGAATCTTGGGGGTAGGGTATGTTGCTCAAGAGGCCAGGTGTCATAAGAGGCAAGGCTAGGTCTTATCATTTTATCAATGGGATCCAGAACAGGCAAAATTTGCAGTCATTAAAGGGATTTTGGCCATGTCAAGGGAAAGTAAATATAAACCCTTGTTTTATATTTCACCTCAATACTGTATTTGCAAAGATCTAGCTGCATGAAATCTATGCCTTTCATTCCATTAATGTGAAGGTAGAAGCTGTCTTCAACAATTGCTTTAAAGTAAACTTAGTCATTCTAAGTTTCAAAATATTAATAATAGAAATATCTCTAAAATATAACATATAGAGAAGAGGAGAAAGAGGTGTGGGGATAGGAGTTTCTGTTCCAATGAATTCAGGGAGGAGGCCAATCCAAAGGGGTTAGGTCAGTGGTGGCGAACCTATGGCACAAGTGCCAAAGGCGGCAGTCAGAGCCTTCTCTGTGGGCACACACGCCATCGCCCCAGTCCTAGGCCTTCAGCTGGGTTTTATAAAACCTTTTCGCTTTAGGCCTCCGCAACCGTGTACAAAAAAAAAAGGTTCAATCAATCAGTCAATTTCAACTTCTCGTGGGGCAAAAAAAAAGATCTTGTAATGTTGGGATTGATTGAACTTTTTAGTCCCACCCAGTCTGCCGTTACCACTGCAGCCACGCCCACCCAATGGGCCACACCCACCCAATGGGCCACACCCACCCAATGGGCCACACTCACCCGGCACCCGAGGATGCATAAGTGGGTTTTTGGGTTGCAGTTTGGGCACTCGGTCTCTAAAAGGTTCGCCATCACTGGGTTAGGTGTTCTTGGGAACTGGTAATGTCATATGATTTATTCTCCAGTTGAAAGTTACAATAAGTTTTTTTCTCTCTTTGAAACTGGAAAGCACGCAAGATTACTTCCATTTATTATTATTTTTACAGAGGATATTCTTTCTCTCAAATTATCTTCCCCAGTTGCTTTATTTATTAATTTAATAATTTTGCAGAGGTTATTCTTTATATCTCCCCAATTCGCTCTCATATTAAAACTGGCATTCCAGAATGCATTGGTGTAGAGAAAAGGTCCCTAATCTTTTGGACACCAGGAACCAGTTCTGTGGAGAAGTTTTTCCATGGACCGGATAATACATGGTTTTGTGTGCTTCCTGCATCCCATGGATGGGGCTTGGCTTGTTTGTGTGGACTGGTTGTTGGCATGCTGTGGCCCAGTACTGGTCCACAGACCGGGGGTTGGGGACCCCTGGTGTAGAGGTTTAAGTCAAATTTTAAAAAAATATATATTTATAGTTCATTTCCATGATGGGTATTCATTTTTGCAGCATTTCCGAACTTCAGTGCTGATTTTCAAGGTAAATTCCTTAAAATAACAGTCCACTTGGTCAATCCCTGGATGGTAGTTAGCCATCTTTGGATGATACTAGATGAGTGACTAAGAATTTGATTAGATGGGGTTTTTGAAGTTAGCAAGTTTATGGCCTAACCTGGTCATATTTGATATTGTACCTGGGTTAGTGAACTTCAAAATCCATTTCATCCCCTATTGCTGAATACAATGCTGCTTCAAAGTGGACTTTGAATACCCTGAGAACAGCAGTTTCCCCCCCCCCTTTCTTCCTAGAATCTGTTATCTTGGTGGCCTTCATAAATACAATTTATAGCCTATCACCTTCTCTCTTGTTCCACTGTGTAAAGTGGTACCAAAACAAGATAGAAGAACTGCAAGATTCTGGTTATTTTTCTGCTTTAGTCTGGGGGGGGGGAAGCACCCCTTTCCGTTATTGTATCCAAATTAAACAAGCTATGCCATGCATTTACAACAACGTCCTGAGGACCTTTATAATTAAGACTCAGCAACTGGGTTAAGCGGCACTCTGAAGCGTTCGATCGAATGTAAACTGCCCGTGAAAAGGAGTCACAGTCACGTCCGTTCTTTCTCCAATAGCCGATGCCAGTGTATTTTGAGCTCAGGCCGTCGCGGGCCCTGGCAGACGAGTTCCCCTTTCGCAACTGAGTTGTGTAGCCCCCTTCCCTTTTCGTTGAAAAGAGCGCGTGAATTGGGGTTGCAGGCTGAACCTGTCCCGTAAACCAAGCGAAGTCGCAACACCGCGACTCACTGCTGGTTACTTCGCCTAGCACGGCGAATGCCCGCTTTTCTTCTGCCACGCGATCCTGAGCAATTCCCCAACGCAGACATTTTTTATAGCGACCCCGCCATTCGGTGCTGCCTCTAAATCTGGTTTAAGCAAAATCTTGCGAGTCGGAGGGGGAGGAAGAGTCGTACAGCTGGGCCCTCGCTTGGCCTTGGAAAAGAGGAAGCTAGGCACGGGAGCCCCCTGGATCTTTTCTCAGATCCGGGTCGTGCAAGAAATCCACCTTCCTACCCCATGCTCCTGAGCCCACGTAGGGCACGCTGCACCCGTTGGAAAATTTAAAAAAGGGGGGGAACCACTGATTTGACCGATTCAATTATTTTTCAAAGGGGCATTCAAAAAACAAGGAGACCCCACGCAACGAAAGGTGGAAATCAACGCGCCAATGTGGCCGTAGCAGAGTCTTTTGCAAAAAAAAAAAAAAAAAGGTACCCCGGCCACTTCCGAATGGCCAGCGAAGAAACCGGGGCAGAAGGGAATAAGTCTCAATTCGACCCAGGAAGGGATGAGTGTTGATGGGGAAGGGGCAGCCCTCCCCGCCTCCCCCAAACTATCCCCGCGGCCTCTTCTTTTGCAGGGCTTCCCCCTGGCAGCGTCTGGCCTTGAGAAAGAAGCGGGCGAGACGGATCCAACGGGAAATAAAGGGCCACTTCGAATTGAGATGCCTTCGACTTTTATGGGAATCAAACTGGGAATCATTACAAGGAATCTATACACAAGGGAGAAAACCCTGAAAACCCGAACTCACCTCTGTTTCTTTCCGAACGTTCACCCTCGGGGAACGAGCTCTCGGGGAAAGCGAAGTCTATCTGGTTGGAAACCGACGGGAGGAAAAAGTGTAAATCAAGATCGGCTTTTTGGAGATTCCTCTCCTCTCGCCACCGCCCCCCCCCCAACGTAAGTGGATGTTAATTAAGTAACCTCTTACGGGCCGAGGGAGAGATTCAGGCCCCACCCAACATGCAAAGAAGGGCTAGCATCCAGGTCTTATCTTAACGACCTTGCGGGGGTGCAGGATCAAGCTGCCTTTTTCTTTTTTAACAATAGATAAGAAGCACGTTAACGCCGCCTCAGGCTCTTCCCTCTTGCTCTTTCCATCGCCCCTAGGCAGGCCGAACAAAGTAGCTTGCAAAAACCCGGATGAGTATGTGCTACTTAAAACTGATGTTCAGTCTATGGCTCTCCCGCCAGCACCTGAGTTTTCTTGATAAGGTGATGGTGAGTGGTGAGTGGGTAGGCATGGTGCAACGAGGGGGCTTTATTACTATGTAGGTAAGAAGCCCCCATCCTCTAATCCATGGTCTACAAAACAGAAAAAGAAAAGGTGATTTACTCAGCAACTGGGATGGAAAAAGAGGTGGAGATATATATACTGCTCAAAAAAAATAAAGGGAACACAAACGTATAGGATCCTATACGTTTGTGTTCCCTTTATTTTTTGAGCAGTATATATATGTATAGATGGAAGGGGAGGGCAGCATCTTCTAATATATCAGATGAAGAGAGTGTTTGGGAGAGCTTGTCAATTAAGTTTTCAGGTGGGACGCCATTAACAAACAGTCATACAGTGCAACCACAAATACAGTGATTGGGGGGGGGGGGAGAGAACAACAACTTGCCAATTCTTCATCAGTGCTAGAGGTAAAGCCAGCTGCCTTCTCACGCATAGACAAGAGGTGTGGATACTTCATTGCCTTTTTTTGCATGGCTCACTCTCTCTTCTCTTGGTTCCATCTCAAAGCTGCCCTGCATCAAGCAGAACCCAAAAAAACCAATATTTCTCAAAGTACAGGTATATCTCCCCATCTTCCAAGCAAGTTACATAAAACAAGAGCCCTAACATTAGGATCAGTAACTTTGATACAATTTGATGGTCTAATTGTATGTACTCTGCTGTCATTTAGCCCAATGATTGCCGAAATATTGGGACTGAATTTTGTTGAACCCACCCACCTACCAGGCTTCGACAGAAAAAGAAAAGGCCCCAGCCGAAAGTTGCTGGCTTTGAATTGATATGCAGATTTAACACTCTCAGGCTTAGAGTGGCTACAGAAAGTAATTGGAAACAATTACAGTTTTTTACCTTACTATTATTAGCTGGGATAGGGGCACATCAACCTTAATTGGATCTTCTACCATTTGATGATGGTCTCACACACACACACACACACACACACACACACACACACACACACACACGCCTCCTATTCTCTCCACTTTAGGAAATCTCTTTTGCTGAACTTCATTTGACTCTTTTCTTTCTCTGTGTGCTTTCTCTCTGTGCCTAGCAGTACATTTGTACTGGCAAATAGAAGTTTGTACCACAATTCATTCATTAGCTTTTCGAATGCTGTAAGATTCTTTGTCATTGTTTTCTTTTTAATACACAAAATTATTGAAGAAAATCCAGATTTAAATCCACATGTCACAATCAGGAATACATAAATTAAAAATGCAGCCATAATGATTCCCGAGTTAATTCCGATGTAAAATCTACAGGGTTGGGTTTTGGTTTTTTTGCCACTGTGTCTGAATCTGGCATGTCCTCTACATTCAATCAAAACTCATCGGTTCTATTTTTCTGGAGGACTGCTAGCCACCTGGTGCCATTGTTGGTTGAAAAGAATCTTGAATTATTGATACTAGCTTCCCTTCATCCTTCTGTTCCTCATTGCATAGACTTCCTAGTTCAACCAAAGTTTGCTATCAAAGTGGATATTCTTATAAATATTGGAAAGGACCTCTACTGGTTATTAGAGAAATAAGGAACACGGTTTGCTTAGTTTTGCAAAAGTGTCAGTTCTGCTAATCTCATCACAACTAATTCCACAACTAATGAAATCAGAGTAGACAGGTAAGTAAGAACAAGTGAAAAAAATATGCTTGCTTTTTCAACATTTTGATATTAAGATAAAACAGAACTTTTAATTAGAATGAAAACATTTTTAAATCAGGATGCACTGAAAATATGGGTTTAAATCCTGAGTCAATAAAATGTTATTGTTGTGGTCATACCATCCATTTGGGATGAAGGACAGTCTACTAAATTTTATCAGAGTAGCTTTTATTAATGTAAGATAGACAAATAGGACTATCTGCATGCCTGAATTTTATTTGTGTTACAATGCAAATGTTTAGCGTAGCTAAAAGCTAGCAATTATGTATATCACCATTTTTGTAAGAAATCTCAATTATTCTAGCTGAAAAAAAATTGAAACCCTATCTAAATATCAGACCAAATGTAGAGTTTTCTTTCTCATAGCCAATAATATTTTTCACATACTCCCTATTAGCAGACTTTGACATAATTGTTGCTGGGGGCACAACACTGATTGTTTGATTTTAGAACCCAATTCTTTTCAATTTCCATGGAATAGGACTGCTGCATTTTCCTAAGGAGAAGTAAAAGAACGTAATTTGCAGCTGCTTAGCATATGAGAAAAATTAAACAGCTTAATTACATTCTGTACTCAGTGAGCCTCTACCTTAGTTTTGCATCTTTCCTTCTAATGAAACAATGCATTGGTGCAGCTGCCTGGTTGTTTGATTTATTTGACACAAGCAGAAACTCTAATTTTGGACATTATCATAAACTGCATAGGATCCATCTTTCCTCCTAGGTCTGCATTTGAATTACATTTATACAGTTGAATGCTCCCAATTCTTTCATTTAGGAGCAGCAAAAAAATTGTCCTCAATCTCAATGCAGAGAGAAAAGAAATTGTATTTAAAGTCTAGGTGTAAGATATAAATATACAAATAAGTTCTTCATTTCTGTGTAATATTTTGCACAAGATTTGGTTGTAATATCATAGGTGTGTTGGAATAATAAAACTCTGATGTCCTTATTGTCTTGATATGTAAAGTAAAACGTAACTGTTGGATGGGCTGACAAGTCCCTAAAATCCTGGAGGACAGAATGACCTCAGATAATACAGAAATTGGTCATCTTATCTGTAAGTGTGTTGCACTGCATATCAGGGTTGTTATTTGCAAACAGTTGGACATAGAAATGGCATTTTTCTCCCCCCCCCCACAGATGTGCTCACAAATAAAGAAAAATGGCACCTTCTCAATCTAAGGCAGAACAAAAAACATGCAGAAAAAAGAAATCCAGCAGTCCTTCCCAGAAAAAGAAAAAGCATGCTGAAGAATTCAAAAGGCAGAAGAAAAGACTGAAGAAAAGAAAGAGCAATGAAGAAATTAATTCTGATTATAGGCTCTCCAATAAAGATGGGGATGATCTTTCCCTACAAAGCCTGACAAAAAGTGAGAAAGATTTGACAAAGCTACAGGGAGAAAAGAGGAGGAGTGGCTTCGAAGAAATAAAAGAAAAGAGACAAAGTAGAGAAGACCATTCAAAGAGAAGCTATGGAGAACCAATAACCTATTTGGGAGAGAAGACTAAAGGAAGGACCCAGAGACCGGAATATCAGAGTTCAGAACAACTACACAACATCATTGTCAAAAGCTACAAACCTAGAGGCGTTGAAGACCATGAGAAATACACATTGAAAAAGGAAGATAAAGGGCAAGCAGGAAAGTACGAAACTGCTCCTGATGCAGAATCTTTCAGAACAGAAAGTGAGGAAGACTTCTCTTGGAAGCAAGAGTCATGCCAAAGAAGAAATTATAATAAAACTGGAAAACAATCTAAATGGGTGGCTCACGCTAACAGCGGTAAGAGGTGCAACAGAAAAAACAAGGAAGGCAAAGCAACAAAGACTAAGAAATCAGGCAAAACGTTTTCCAAAGCAACTCCTGTGAATTCAGAAGATTCATCATGTTTGGACTCCCAAGAGGAATGCAGGTGGAACCAAAGAAGTGGAAATAAAGGGACAGGCAAGGCAAAGTTCAAATCAACAGAGAAGAGAAGCTTTTTGGAAGATAATTTGGGTGAGAAGTGGCAACCAGCTTCTACAGAAAGTCAGTTTGTCGGAGAAAGAAGAAGTTACCGGACATCTCAGAAAACCATTAGGCAAAGGGAAGAAAAGCCTGAGATCAAAAAGAAGAAAAAAGAGTTTCAAACTAAAGGGAATTATTTTAAGAGAGATGAAGAAATAAAGAGGAAGGACAGAAGCTCAGTAACAGGAATAGCTCCACTGGGTGATAGCCATGAGCAAACTGATGATGAAAGCAGCCCAGAAAACTACAGTGGAAGCCACACTGAAGATGAAAGAGATTCTTGGAACCATGGACATCCACCAGAACATGGAAGGGGTGAAGAAGAGTCTAACTATGAGGAAAATAGATGTGGAAGTGAAGATACTGTAAATATGATAAGTAGGGAGAAAAGTGGCATGAACCAAGTAACAGCATTTCTTGACGTGACAAGATCAAAGTTCCATAATGTTAGCTTGATTAGGTCCCTACAAGAGAGCACCATAGTAGAAGAAAAGGCAAGTGTCAGTGACCAAATGGCCAGTATACAAAGCACAACTTCAAAATTGGTAAAATGTAGAAGTCAAGCTCCTAATAAATTTGATGCAGCCAAACAAAGCTCCCGTTTAGAAGAGCAGTCAAACCAAGCAGGTCGAACAAGGGTGGATGGAGTAGCTTTGCTGGCTAAAAGATATACTCACCCAAATTCTCAGCCTCAAATTCTGCTGAAGGTAGACAGCCAACATGCTAAAACCAAGCTGCTGGCAATTAGCAAGCTTTTTTCTCGCAGAAAGCAAACAGAAATTGGTTCTGAATTGGAGGAAACTGAAAGTATCCATTTCGAAAAAAATACAAGAAAAAATAAAACACTTTCAAGATTGAAAATGAAAGAATGTTCTGCTGAGAAGAAAGATGCAGATGGGGAAAAAATAGGAAAGGTCAAAACAGTTGCACACCAGACTCTGGGTAGAAAAGAGGAGATTTCATGGGAACAAACTACTGGTAAAAAACAATTAATATTTAAGCAACCAAGACACAAATCTCTACAAACAATTTCAGCATTTAAAAAAGTAACCCATTGGCTTAGCCAGAAACCTCACAAAAAAGCAAGCTTGAAACATCGTTTCTTAAAGGTAGTGCGTGCAGTTGGCATCTCAGGATGGTTCTCTAAGAGGTTTGGTAAGAGGATGAGGAGCACCCAACCATATGGATTCAGGAGAAGAATGGCCATCAGAATTGTTAATTTAGCTGAGATGGCCAAGAAGTGTAATAAGACTTCAATAAG